TATCACCCGAGGGCAAACTCGCCGAAATATTGTCGAATGTAATTAATATGCATGGGTCATTTGATTGGCTGTTGTACAGAATCGCATTGGCGTATCACGAATCACAGTTTACGTCACGTACAGTGCATGTATGTTCGGCAATGACAAACACTTTTCCGTAGTTAACTCACCGATTGCAAACAAATCAAGTGCATTTAGCAGTTTGAGAAAGGAACTCCTATATTATTCTTGAATGGTATTTAATGCCAGTGACATGTACGACGTGTCTTTTATCGTTTTCAAACAAAGTTTGCATGTTTTAAGGGAGGGTTGTCCAAAAATTCCTTAGAATGAGCTCATATCTTTAAGAGAAATTCACATATCTTTATAAAATTTTCTGGATGGATAAAGTGTGTTGTTGGCTGATAAATTTCGAAGTTTTAACACGATTACTTGAAAACAATTTGAGTAATAAGAATTATAGTGTTATCGTTTCCTAACACCCGGAGCAATCTCCGACATCAGAAAAGGTAAACGTCACCTCAGATTTTGAGGAAGAAATATTCTTTAAATCATCATAAAGATTATAGTTATAAATGTGAAATATCTTAATTATTATGAATTGATTTAACATTAAAACAAGATGTGTTTGTGAAACACTGATGCCCCCGTATGGCAGCTTATGGCGAAGGTTAAAGTTTCTTCAAATGCAAGTCCAAATCCAGCCAAAAGATAAGAAATGTTGATACCCAAAGAAAGGTCTTGTCTCGAGGAATACACCTATGAAATTTGAAAGACCTAGATACAACTGTTCAGAAGTTATGGCGAAGGTTAAAGTTTTTTGAATAAAAGTCAAACGTCAAGGACAAGGTCAAAGTGGTTGGTATCCAAAGGAAGATCTTGTCACAAGGATTACATATGTGAAGTATGAAAGCCCTAGCACCAACCATTCAAAAGTTATGGCCAAGGTTAAAGTTTTTCAAAAGTATGTCCAACTCCTAGGTCAAGGTCAAAGGGTCAAATAGGTTGGTATCCAAAGGAAGGTCTTGTCACAAGGATTACATATGTGAAGTATGAAAGCCCTAGCATCAACCATTCAAAAGTTCTGGCCAAGGTTAAAGTTTTTCAAAAGTAGGTCAAACTCCTACGTCAAAGTCAAAAGGTCAAAGTGGTGGTTGGTATCCAAAGGAAGGTCTTGTCGCAAGGATTACATATGTGAAGTATGAAAGCCCTAACTCCAACCATTCAAAAGTTATGGCCAAGGTTAAAGTTTTTCAAAAGTAGGTCAAACTCCAAGGTCAAGGTCAAAAGGTCAAAGTTGTTGGTATCCAAAGGAAGGCCTTGTCACAAAGAATACACATGTGAAGTTTGAAACCCCAAGCACCAACTGTTCAGAAGTTATGGCTAAGGTTAAAGTCTCATAAAATTTTGCAAAAGTAGGTCAAACTCCAAGGTCAAGGTCAAAAGGTCAAATATGATGGTACCCAAAGAAAGGTCTTGGCACAAGAAATACACATGTGAAATATGAAAGTCATAGCTCCAACCAATCAAAAGTTATGGGCAAGGTTAAAGTTGACAACAGACAGACAGACAAACAGACAAACGGACAAACAGACAAACAGACAAACGGAGAAACAGACAGACAGGACAAAAACAATATACCCCCGGGATCTTTCGATCCGGGGGCATAATATTTAAACAAAGTATGTACATGATCATGGTCATTTAACAAAAAAATATTTCGAAAAGCCTTAGTTTTCTTTCTACGGGGTTTTCGTCTGTCTTCTCTAGTGGTGTTGCAGTGTTACTCTTGTCCGATTCCTCGACCGGTCTCTTTTTTTAGTTTCCCTTCTTCACATACTTAGAAACACCGTTTCAGTCATTTTCATATACTGAAGACCAGAAAACATTTTCATGTGTTCCAAACATTTATGACTTATGCGTTTCTGTAGGAGTGAATTCAAGATCTGAACATTTCATCACAGTCCAGTGCGCCGCCTGTGTCAAAGTAGCCGCCATTCTTCAACACGTTAGATTTCAAACCGGGTTGGTATTAACGTTATAAAATTCATATTAATTAAAACATATGCACCAAAATTTTGGGAAAGGTAGTTAACAATACAGTATTAAGAATTCTCATTTCTATGCTCGAAATTCTGAGAAGTAAACACTTTTTCGAAGGATTTTAAAGATTATATACCGATTTTTAATTGCAATGTTTGGGTACTGCACCGCCTTCTTAAACCGGAAAGTGAAATATTTTATTTAAATAGGGTTACTCTGTAAAATTACTTAATATTTGTCCATAAATTTATTAGTTTTTGTAAGATTAATTTATGTACCAAGTTTCATTAATATATGACACCGGGTTCCTACAAAACAACGCTTGTCTACGGAATTTTGGGAAAACCCTCGTAGAGCAAACATAAACGTATTTTCAAAATTGAAGAGTTCCAACTACTAATTGGTTGTCTATAATCGACGAATTTGCATTATAAACGACGGTATTTCAGCGAGTTTGCCTACTGGTGATGAGTAAAAGACGAGATCACCCGTGGGTACCCGACGATGATTCACTTGTAGGCCAAGGGCGTATCAATTTTTTAGAGCTTTTGCACCGAAACATTCATAAAATTTAAAGGTAATGAAATATGTTAAAAGCAAACCACAGACACGTAAAATGTGGATAACTTACATTTTTCAGACACCTTTTTTTTTCTAAACATAACTTTTACTATTAATATCGATGTCAACGTGATTTTTTTTAAAATCTAGTTGAAAAAGTTGCAAACTACCAGGGAGAGGGGAAGGTGGAGAGCCTGACTTCCAGCTTTTTTCCAAAACCTAACCTTGACTCTTAATATACTGTGGTATGACCCCCCCCCCCCAAACTTTTTGTCGCAGCATAGTTAAATTCTCCGATGTTAAAGCAGGGATCTTTTTACTAACATCAAAAAAAAATATTGTCGAAAAAGCTGGAACCTACCAGGTAAATATCAGTATAACTAGCCTACATATCTTACTAAAAATATGCTATTTCCCCATTAATTCCATCTGTATGTTGTTCTGTGCAATCCATATGTACTGTTTTAAGGTTTAGAAACTGGTCAAATACAATCTTCTTTTAAATACCGTATATGACCAGTATCTAAACCGAAATAAAGTGTTGTAAATGTTTATATTATACTTTCATGTAAATAAGTTAAATCTGATTCGTCGAGAAACATTTGTTAAAAAACACTATTACCCGCTGAATAATGAAGCCACGCTCTCCAGCGTAGCAACAGTCAACATTGCTTGACGACGGGTGATATTCCAAAAAATATTGACTGCGCAGAATTTATGCGCACAAGATTCAAAATAATAGGTATTTGTATAAATCATTCAGTATGATATAATAAATGTTGCATGTAGTTGAGTGTAACATTGAAAATGTTGACAATGGTTTTCTTGGGGTGAAAATTTTCAATGTTACACTCAACTACATGCAACATTTATATATTATTAATTGATGATACCTTCTTCTTTTGAATGTCTGAAAGATGGAATCACCAACAGTTTCCTTTGTTATACCTATAAAAATTGGTTCCTATATACATCTATACTAAAAAAAAGTCTAACATTTCCACTGTTTTACTGAGCGGTCAGAAAAAAAAAATCAATATTCGATTTGGCAGAGTGAGATATTGGACCTGTCGATGAGATATTGAACTGCTTACGTCACAATTGGGGCGGGATTAGCTAAATCTTATTTGCATTCGTTGGTGTCGAAAGTGACAAAAATGATCCAGTTTTAATGAAGGTAAAGGAAATTTACATCATGGAAGCCAGCACAAGGTACATGTATGTCAAATAAAATATTAACAAGATGTGTTTGTGAAACACTGATACCCCAGTATGACAGCTTATGGCGAAGGGTGAAGTTTCTCAATTGCAATTCAAACTCCAAGGTCAATGTCAAGAGATCAAAAATGTTGTTACCCGAAGAAAGGACCTGTGTCAATGGATATACCTGGTAAATATGAAAGAGATAAAAAATGTTGTTACTCAAAGAAAGAACTTGTGTAAGTGGATATACCTGGTAAAAATGAAAGTCCAAGCACTAGCCTTTCAAAAGTAATGGTCAAGGTTAATGTTTTCTAAAAGTGGGTCAAACTCCAAGGTCAAGGTCAAAGGGTAAAAATTAATGATACGCAGGGGGAAAACCTTGTCATAAGAAATAAGAAGTCTTGCAAAATATAAAAGCCCTAGCACCAGCTGTTCAAATGTTATGGCGACGCTTTAAGTTTTTCAAAATTAGATCAAACTCCAAATTCAAGGTCAAAAAGTCAACATTGTTGCTATCCCAAAAAAGGTCTTGTCACAAGGAATATACCAGTAAAATTTGAAAGCCCTATTACTTACTGTTCAAAAGTTATGGCCAAGGTAAAACTTTTACTAAGTGGGTCAATCTCTAAGGTCAAAGTCAAAAAGTCAAAAATATTTACTTCCATGGAAAGATCTTGTCATGATCAAATTACATGTGAAATATTAAAGCTTTTGCACCAACTGTTCAAAAGTTATGGCCAAGGTTATAGTTGGGTAACTTTTTGCAAGAGTAAGTCAAACTCCAAGGTCAAGAGGTCAGATATGTCGGTACCCAAAGGAAGGCTTTGTCAAAGGAAAACACATGTGAAATATGAAAGCCATAGCTCCAACAAATCAAACGTTATGGGCAATGTTAAAGTTTTTTGCGGACAAACAAACAGACAGCTAGGCAGACGGACGGACATTGCAAAAACTATATACCCTCGAACTTTCGAATACGGGGACATAAAAATTTGATATTCTCTACCAGCTTCTGACATATAGAATCGTAAGAGACTTTTAAATGATCGATATTGCTGTCAGTGAGTTCTGTCGGCACCCACACTAATGTAATAGTTCAACCCTGGCTCACTCCAGGAGAAACTCCGCCTCTTTCTGCATACGATTGGATATTCCAAGTCCAGGGTTTTTACCCAAAGTAACCAGAAGGCAGAATGGCGGAGGAGCAATCAGGTACGTATGTCTGATTCAAATTATGAATGATTCCCATGCTAAGTTGATACAAAAATAATTTACACTCCTACATTGATTTTATTGTTTAATAGAAAAACTTCCCTGGTTCAGTTACTAGTGTTTTTCGATCCCTATCTCTTTTTTCGAAATCTAAAACTTGATATAAAAAAAATTGAATTCTTCGAATGAGATATTTATGATCGTAAATGTATGCGCAAATTCTGTGAAATTCGTTTTTACTTTGCATCTCTAAAATTGGTAGAGCGTCCTTTTAAGGTCAGACGATACGGTCCTCAATAGTATTTAATTTTTTCCCCAAAAAATGTTGTTGAAATATTGCTACTTCAACAAGTTTCCTTAGAAAAAAGAGGTAAATAATTACCAGAAATTTGAACACCATACTTTAAGCTTTAATAAAATTATACAGAAAAAACCATTTTCACGGAATTCAATTTGAAATTATGGGAAAAGTAATTGGATATCTATATCCAATTTAATATGTTTTAAAGTAGAGGCCAAGGACATACACATTACCGTTTTCTGGGAGACTGTAGACAATATGGATACATTTCATTTGTCTGATATGAAAAAAACTCCCATATTCATAACTGGTTTTCTTCATTTTTGATTGAAAATGACAATTTAAAATATGTTTTTTCGCCTTTTTACCTAATAATTTTGCCTTGATACACATTATTTTACTAAGTTGTAGTGATGAAACATCATTAAAGGAATTTATTTCTCAAATTTTGAGAAACTTGTAGGCACCTTTCATTTACTAGATTTTGACCTTAAGAGAGTATATGCAATATTTTTAGTACGGGTGTACGAAAAACAAGTTTTCCTCTGCTCTATTATGAGCGAAAGGCACATACACATGTACATGTAGCTTTCTGAGAAGAGATCAAAACAAAGAGATTTGGCAAAAAAGGTTGAAAAGATAAAGAACAGTGTAAAAGAAAGTGGTAAAAATTAAGTATTAGGAATGAAAAGAAAGTACCGCCTCCTCAAGGGTTATACATGTATATAACATATACCGCTAGGTATAAACCATAGCGATCTTACAAAGAAAAATTCAAAACTTATGATTCATGCGAAAAAAATATTAATCTTAAGCAGGGAAAACGGGTTCTCAGCCTACCATTGTAGTTCCACACCAAAACAAGGTCCAGCCATACGGAGGACAAGGACCTCAGCCGGGAAGTACTGGTCCTCAGACCTCAGGACAACCTGGACCAGTAACGGGTCAGCCAGGGCCAATAATAGGTCAACCAGGACCAGGACAACCATTTGGTTTCGTGAGCATTTTGGCCTTGCACATTCTAACACATTGTTTAAACCAGTTGAATTTAGTTTGCATTTGGACATGCATTCTTTTGCCTCATTTTGATATTTTCAATTTCTCTCAGAGTCGGATGATGAATGCTTCAGGAAAACAAAAACTGTCAGTAAAAAAACTGAAGGATACTGACTCAGTTTTTTTTCTCTCTTTTTCTCTCTCGTTTAGCATACAAGTAACACCACCGTGGTTGTAACACAACAGCAAGTACCAACTCGACCTCCAAAACGAGGCTGGAGCACAGGCTTATGTGGTTGTTTCGAAGATTTTGGATCCTGTATGTTTTCATTTGACAAACTAGTATTATACTGAGATCACAACTAATTTATTTGCTTATTCAGGTTTGAAATCCTTTGAGCACATTTTGGAATCCTTTGATGTTTCTTTGTAGTATTCTGCATTTCTTATTATTTGTTGACCTCTGACCTTTACTCTTATTTGTATGCCTGTTAGGTTGTGCTGTTCTGTTATGTCCACAATGCTACATGTGTTACCTGTCCAGTAAGCTTGGAGAGTCCTGCTGTCTGCCATGCGCAATCTCTGGAACCGGTGCATTGATTCCTCTCCGAACCAAGATCCGCGCAGAGAACAATATTCATGTAATCTTGATTTACTTTTAATACAAATAGATGCTTACAATTAACACGTAATTTCCCTTTTATATGAAAATACGTATACATTTCCAGAATTTCTAATTCTCGTGTTCAGTTGTAGTTTTATTGGAGAAAAACTGGATCAAAATCCAGAATTTTAAATGCTGCTTCAGAATACGATTGTAAGCCGATCCGATGACATTAGAATATCTTTGAATTCGTTTACTTATTAATAATTATGTTACAGGGCAGTATTTGTGACGATTGCTGTATGGTCTGTTGGTGTCCTGCCTGCGTCATGTGCCAACTGTCACGTGAATTCGATAATATTCAAATTAACCATTAATTAATAGTTTGTTGATATTTTACCAACGCTTTTTGGAAAAAGTGATTATAAACAACGTGGATTTACAAATTTTCAATCTTCAATTTTATAAACAGTATTTTAAGGAGGCTGGGGGTCAACAAATTAACCATCAGATATAACTTATTTTTTTAGATATGATATCTGAAGCTGTCAACTATCATTTGGCAAAGAAAAAATTCATACATTTTAGTTTTAAAATTTGATCATTTTTGTGTATCTTTATATGGAGCTCTTCTTCTAAGGGAGATCAGTATAGTCTAAAAATGGCCACGACCACCCAGTCCTCTTAATATACGTCACAGAGAAGATACAAATATATTACTTCAAGCCAATTAAAGGCAAAAGAGTCTCTGTACCAAGCTGTAGGTTTCCTTATTTTCATTTGGGTGTACATAAATTTGCATCGATCAGGAATAAAAGGAATTGATTAATCAATCAGTCATGTTGCTGCTGTTATATAATATTCAATATCTTTTATCTGTAATTGTTTGCTTACGCTGTAACATTGCTCGTGTTATGTGTTTCTATGAACCCTGGACTCATTTTGCTTTTGTATATACAATTGTTTCCCGTTGATGATTCTCAAGCTGGCTTGAAAAAATTGTTGTTTACTTGTGGACCAAGACAGACATCACAATGCTCAATAAAATATTTGCATGGTTATTCCCAGTATTTATTAATAATTCTGTTATGATTAATTTAAAGAAAACGATTAATGAACAAAAATGTTAGTTAAGTATTCAGTGTAAAATTTTGTTGAATCTGTGAATGTATGTGTAAATACACATGTATAATGTAATGTCGCAAATACAAAAATAAACAAAAAACAAAACAAAAACAAACAAACACGCCCTCCCACAAAGAGAGAGAGAGATCTGGTGAGATTGACTTAAATCGGGATATGAACGATCTCACTTGTTTGAAGATTATAAAAAATGAAATGTTTTGTGTGAATCAATAATTTTATAAATATTTTACTGCATGAAGTGAATTATTCTACAGTTTGTCAGAAAATTTGATTCTGAAAAAAAAATAAGGAAATCATTCTTTCCTCGAAAGGAAAACAATGTCTTATTTGAATTTCTCTTCTTGTTTTAATATGTCTTATGTATATTAAAGATATTTTATGCCAAACTGTTAAATATTTTTGTTAACGTTTTCATCATGTAATTTCCATTATTGGTGCAAACAATGATTATTGACAATTTATTTCTGGGGGAAGTGATCAGCAAAAATGGTAAAAAAAAGAAATTAAGGTTCATTGACCCCCTGATAAGAGAAACAACTCTCACTGCAATTAATGACCATTACTTCATATAAAAATCAAGCTAAGAGGCGATTTCTCTCATATTATGCTCCGCAAAATGTGTTGAAATGGTTCGCTTTTCAATTAAAATTAATATTTCTTTTGGAAAATCATCATCATTAAAACAATATTTTATAGGAATGAACATAGGGACGATAAACATTTTAATAGATATTTGTGTGAGAGCTATGTCCAGTCAAAGTACTGTTATTTCTAATTATAGCTATATCGATGACGTTTTATCAATTAACAATGTTCGTTTTCATTCCTATGTTGATTCTATATATCCCTTTGAACTCGAAATAAAAGATACCAGAGTCTGTCTGGATATTCTACTAGAAAATGACGTTAATGGTAGCCAAACAACAAAACTTTGTGATAAACATGATGACTTCAACTTTTCTATCGTCAACTTCCCTTATTTATGTAGCAATATACCATTATCACCTGCATATGGGGTTTATGTCTATGTTTATGTTGTTCTAAGTATGAACAATTTCTAAAACGAGGCAAACTATTGACAAATAAATTATAAAACAAGAATATCAACAGTCTCCTTTAAAATCAACATTTCGTAAAGTCTGTGGTCAATACAATGACTGTCAGCAAATACAATCTACCAGTAAGTCAAATGTTGATTGACGTTTTTCATACAGATTGTTAGGCCATTATTTTCACAATGAATTATCTACGGATTTTTCCGTTTTCCCGATCATGACAAGGAGCACTCGGCGGGTGTGGCCGGTCGACAGGGAATGTTTACTCCTCCATGACACCTGATCCCACTTCTGATGTTTTTAGAGGTTCGTGTTTGCTCTGCTCCATATTTGTATTGTTTCAATGAAGTTTTGAGCTTGATTATTGTTCGTTATCTTCATATTTCATTTCAGCAGGAAGTCGGTTTCAGAGGAAATGACATTTGAAATCCTGTTTTCTTAGTACTACACGTAGAATATAGAAGTTTCAATTTGTTTCATTTTTAGGCCAGCATTCTCATGAAGTACATGTTCCAATGTTCAAACCATGGCCCCAAGAAAAGAAGGGACCACTATAAGTACATTTTTGAACATTGGAACTATAGTAATATTCTATTTTTAAATCTCTGAAAGTTAAAGAGTGTTAAATTTAAATTTAAACCCTTTTTCAATAATTCTGTCTTTACATGTACAAATAAATAATAACCGGCTTTCATTAAAAAAGTTCCATTGCACGTTTCTATAAAATACCGACCTTGTTATTACAATGATAGTGTGGCCATCATGTGCAAGTTCTCAGTTCCACATATCCCCGTATTGCTCTTCCGCGATTATATATATATATATATATATATATATATATATATATATATATATATATATATATATATATATATATTTCTCTCTCATTGTTACATGGACTTCTTCCGTTAGCCAGGTGAAAATCTTACCAAAGCAACTCCTTTTTGATTGAGTTGTAAGTGTGGCCATCCATACTTTTTATAAACTGACTGCATCGGTAAGAAACATTATTATCTAAAACACTGACTTTTCTATACGTTTATCCATTGCATATTGTACACTGGTTACCAGTATTTTCATGACTTCTGAAACCAATCACCAACCAGTGTGAACTGCAACATACATTCAATTGTTATTGAGTTCATATTCACTACTACTGACAAGAACTCTGTAAGGAAAATAATAATGATGTAAATGAGATAAATGATGCCAAGTTCTACCCGTGGCCATTGAAAAATCGTGGAAAGGAAGCATCAAAGAGAACACATAATTTATAGTTGAAACCAATCGCGGAAAAGCAGTAGTCGCGGAAAAGCAGACAGGGAGCTGAAATAAAATTGCGGAAAAGCAGGACGGCCAATAATTCTATTGAGTATCCTGAAAGAATGAAACAACCAGAAAGAATGTTTATAATCTCTTTTCGAGAATTTTAGATAAAATGGTATGGGGGAAAAATCAAGAAAAGTATGTGGTTTAACATTCATTAAAGGCTTTTTTAAAAGGAAAAACTAAAATGTAATTAAATAATAAATTTTGTTGGAAACGTGAAACTGAAGGAACTAGATCTATGTGTATATCATCTGGCTTTTCCATAAAAAGATGCTTCTTTTATTTTATTATTTTCTTTCAAGTACTGCAACTTTTATATCTACAAATTTCAATGATCTGGCCATTTACCGTTTTTGTAAGCCTGGTATACTAAAAGTCTGACATACAGTGGCCTTTTAAACGTTTCATTACCACTCACTATCCCTTGCCAAATAACTATGTAAGTTTAAGCAAGATCATCTCTCTCAGTCTCAATGATAAAAAAATTAACACTGTGACGTCACAATAATCGCCTCTACATGACAATTAGGTAACGTCACAATCAAACCTGATTTCGTGTGTTGTGAACGACAAAGATTCCAAGGTACATGTATGTTCAATATTTTCAATGTTAGCACTTTATTTTTTTTTAATTTTTCTTCTACCGTCACTGCATATATTTAATAGATATCTTTATCACTTCATTAATGCAGATTTCTATCAGTCTTGCACAAAGATGGAAGATGTTATTGATTTATACATAATTCCACTCCTCGTGAAGTACATCAATCGGTGGACGAGCAAAGGTCAGTGTCCCCTAGAAATAATAAATACTAGTATAATAACCGTTTATAAGGATTAATATGAACATTACAGCAAATCACAGAAATAATCTGAAGATCACTCTATTTTTTTTCGATGTATCTAGACTTGCATATGATTACTATTATATACATAATTATCAAATCATAATGATATACATGTATCTCTGAGAGTGAGAGAATTCTAGGAGAGTTATACAATTTACAAATAAGAACGTTGAATGCTGTGAAGTGTGAACAATGCATTGTTATTTGAATTTAACACGTGAACATTAAGGAAGTACCGGTGTTGGTGAGAACTTTTTACTTTTAGAATAGACTTTTGAAGTGCAGTTGCCGTCTCCCACTTTATTTTACTCATGCTCATTTTTTTTTTTTACGAAAATGAGTGAGAACCAACCTCACCCACCCCACACACTTATCTTTTTCAACTTAAGCAGTTTTCATCTTTTTTTGGCTTCAAACTTTTTCTTTTTTAATTATTTTATTTTTCTTTGCTTGTCTTTTCTTTTTTTTCTCTGGCTGTCCCGCCCCACTTTGAAAAATTAATACCATGTCCTTGATATTGTTCATGTACAAGATCTTTCAGACGAGTGTTCAAATTTTAAATATGAATGGATATCGAAAATATTATAATAAACTTCCATATTTATTTTTCTTATCGGAATTGTTGTTATTACAAAAACTTGAACTACTATATTAGTTTTCTTACTCTTCAATTCTCTATAACCATATGAACTTGTTTCTCCAGAGGAAATTCCAAAAGCACGGTATTTAAAAACTGAGACGAATCAAACAAAACCCATTCCTAAGGTGGATCTAAACGACCGGGATTCGTATGATGTGGTAGTCGAGGTGGGAATGAAAGATGGAAAACCATATACCAAGGACGCGTACAGAATTGTAAGTTGTCTATTAAAACTCCTGAATGCAAATTGTTTTTCAGAGTTAACTTTCTTTAAATACGTTTAAGCCGATATGGAGAGCAACTTTTTACCAATTCAAACAGGGACATATGATTTACACTATGATTATCATTCCATTTTT